TGGCCCCAATTCTCTTTATTCCTTTTTTTCTTTCTCAATTTTCCCAGATATATGTAGTAGAAATATAAAGAGATCTGCATATGTTACGAAGAAAAAAAGGTTATGTATTATATAAATGCTCATAAACAACCTGATATAATTAAGCCTTGTAAATTTTATGGTCTAATAGTAGCCAAAGATTGTTTACAGGATGAATACTCACCAAGGATGGCTCACCAAGGATGGCTCAGTCTGAGATTTAGGGTCCTGTAGAAAATGAAGCAAACACCATTGTAAACTTACGTTATTTCAAAAAACTGGTGAATAGTCAGATGTCTACTTTGAGAAGAGCGAATTAAACAGGCGACAAAAATACAATGTCCTGAAGCATTTTAATGGCACTATATTAAACATGCTAACTTAGAATAAGAAACTACACTCTGGTAATGTTACTGTCATCTAAAAGCATTGTAAAACATAGATTTTAAGTGTCATTTATTTATGTTGGGTAATTGGTTTACCATTTTTCTAAATACAGAATCATACATTTTTAAAATGACTGATGAAAATAAAGTGGTGAGTAGTTTAATAGAAGAGAATAAGCTTTAGAAGTATGGTTTTCGGTTGTCCTGTTTTTAGAAATTAAGTTGTTTCATTATTTTATTTTTCTCTTTTCTGAGTAAACATGAATGTGGTACTTGCTGGATTGGTAACTGACATTTTTGAGGAAGACTGATCCAGATATCAACATGTTATTATTTAATATACAATAATGTTTCTTAGATTTTGGAAGACAATAATTCTGGAAGAGAATAATATGTCCTTATGGATTAGCACCAGTTCTTTTTTTTTTTTAAGATTTCATTTATTTATTTTACAAAGAGAGAGAGAGAGAACAAGCAGGGGGAGCAGCAGAGGGAGAGGGAGAAGCAGGCTCCCCCCTGAGCGGGGAGCCTGATGCTGGGCTTGATCCCAAGAACCTGGGATCACGACCTGAGCCGAAGACAGATGCTTAACTGACTGAGCCACCCAGGCGCCCCTCACCAGTTTCTTTAGAATATTAAATTAATGTCGTAAGACTTCATCAAATATATAACATTATATGTTGCTTTTACAATTTGAAAAAATGCTACAAAAAGAATTTTTATGACATCTTTGTATTTAGGCAAATGAGAGAAAAAAAGTCAAGGCTTATGATATATGACAAGTACTCCTTTGAATTCCAAAATATATCTGGTCTTTTAAGATTTTTCAGTATTACTTCAAATAAGCATGTAGTAAGGTTAGAAAGTACTTGTTTTTCAACTGCAAGTCCTCTCTTTTGTTACAGTACGGCTATAAACATACTTTATAAATTATATTTATATGACTCATTAAAAAAGGAAATTGACATATCTTAAAAATTAACAAGAATGGTCTATTAAAATTAATGATTTCACAAATTAAATGTTGCTTAGTGGATAAAGGCAATTTTCAGATAAATTATATTCTTCAATAGCAGGTCTGTCTGGCCATTTGCAAGCTGGACTTTACTGGGCTTAGTGTAGTAAGTTGTCCTCTAGCATTTGTCTCCTCTTAACCAGTACATTTTCACTATATCCAACTGACATTGAATGGCCTAGACTCCTAGAATACCATGATGTGGGATATATATGCCCACGTGTGTAATGAACACCCCACATAATATTCTGCTTTACCTTCAAGCCAGGGTGAATCCTTTCAACATTGGCACAGGGAACTCGGCAGGAATCATGCAAACTTTTAAGGTAGTTAATGGAAAGAGAGGAACTATAGAAAGCTCTGAGAAAGCCAGCATGTGGCCAAAAACAACAGCAGGTATGGCCATATGGCAATCGAATTAGAAAAGGGATTCTGCCACACTGCCTTCCAGAAGATAGTCAAGCCCAGGCAGCTCTCATGAAGGGATGATTTACTCAGTACATTTGAAGTGTTTCATATTGCCTCTTATACTGTTCAATTCCAAAGGGAACTTAAATCTATTATACCAAATAGATATTGAAGCGTTTTCTTAAAAAAATAAAAAAAATAATAACTTCTAAAGTAATTTCAGTTCCACATTTAAAGATCACTGTGCCAAAAGCATGTTTATTTCCAACTAAGCATTTGCTGAAACTGTATTCAAAAAAATAAAGCTTTGTAAGGCTAAAATTTAATAACATTATTTTACTTTAACAACACATTTGGTGAGATTATTTAACATTTTAAAATCCCCTACCTAGTCTAAGGTACTCTGTAATAATATAATTTAAATTATTTGTATAAGAAGCACTTAACCTGTAGAATAACATTTTTCAGAAGAAGCACATTTTCCTTTAAAAAGAATTTGCTGAAAATGTGTTTTACTTCTCTGATGAGCTCTCAAAAGCTTGTTTGACCTACAAAGGAACAGGGGCTATGCTAGGAACAGCCATTTTAAAATTTATTATTAGTATCCTATCATGTTATAATTTCAGCAGAATTCTTGTAGTGTGTGCGTGCGTGTGTGCATGCACACGCATGTGTGTTTAATCTGGTAAAATGTCCATGCTTTGTCTTTTATTGTTCTTATCTTGAGGGAAAATAGCGTCTTTGTTGAGAACAAGAGGGACTCACTCCACACATACACACACCTTTACTAGGATGATAACAAGCTAGCCTATGGTCAGCATGAAGATAATGTTCATATTTCAAACTTGAATTTTCCAATTTGTCTCTGCTTATTGGCAGCACCACACTTTTATTTTCCGTGACCACATTTTTAGAACAACAGACCCATAAGAAGATAAGTACTCAAACTCATAGCTAATAGTTTAAGTATGGATTTCTTCCCTGGTAACACTTTTTCAAATAGGATTATTATGTATATCTTGAATAAAATCATCTATGTAAAAAATGTGAACTTGTAATCAGTTTCTTTTTGGAGTACAGGTGTTATACTTCTATTGAAGTTAGTTTACATATACTTAGTAGAAGAAAGTCAGATTTTGTTGTTTTAAAATTGTTTTTTTCAGGATATATGGTTATCTTTGTTTTGCCTAAGGATTTAGATTTTAACCTTTTTAAAAAAAATTAAGTTACAGAAAAGTAAAAAGAAAAACATAATAAACATCACTGCCTCTGTCACTCAGATGTTAAGCTATTGCATTTTGGCATGTTGCTTCCAGTAATTATTAAAATAAAACATATAGTTAAGCCCCTTTGGTCCACTTTTAGTCCTACTGTCATGTGAGAGGCAACCACTAACATGAGTTTGATTTCTTTTCCTTTCAATTAAAAAAATTACATATGTGTATCTATCAATAATATGAGTATTATTTTAAATATACAGCTTGAACAGCTACGAATGCTGACCCCCATGCAGTCCAAAACCTCCATTTAACTTTTGATCCCCACCCAAAACTTAACTACTAATAGCTTACCATTGATCAGACAGAAGCATTACCAATAATATCAAAGGTTGATTAGCATATATTTTGTATGTTATATATAATATATACTGTATCCTTACACTAAAATAAGCTAGAGAAAACAAAAGATTATTAGGAAAATCCGGGTCCCCTGAGTGGCTCAGTCTGTTAAGCGTCTGCCTTTGGCTCCGGTCGTGATCCCGGGGTCCTGCGGTAGAGCCCTGCGTCGTTGGGCTCCTTGCGCAGTGGGGAGCCTGCCTCTCCCTCTCCCTCTTCCCACTCCCTCGCACTTTCTCTCTCTCACTCTTCTCTCTCTCTCAAATAAGTAAATCAAATCTTTAAAAAAAAGAAAAAGAAAAAATCCTAAGGAAGAGAAAATACACTTACAGTACTGTACTGTATTTATTGGGAAAAAAACCCACATATAAGTGGACCCATACCTTTCAAACCCGGGTGGTTCAAAAGTGTTCAGAGGTACAGGGCATAGATTCTTCGTGTTACTTTTTCACTAAACTTTGTTATCGCGATCTATCCTATTGGCATATAAAGATCCACCTCTTCCCTTTTAACTGTTTTACAACATTTCATCCTATGAAGAGAAGACGTTTTATTGACCCATTCCTCTACTGATGGACATTGATGAGTTCCTTTCTTCATGGTGTCTCTGGTATTCCATTCATTCTGAGGTTTAAGTAACATTTTCATAGTAATCAAGAGGTATTTACGTACTTTGGATTCGCAGCTTTAGGCCACTTAGCAAAACCACTCTTGACGATTTTCCACTGGAGATGTTTTCTTTTTTACTTATGCCTCAAATATAGCAAAATGGCAAATAATTCAAGATACGAGTTTTAACATCAAATGTGATTTGTTCAAAATTTACATTAATCTTGCTCATAACTAGTCACTTCCATTTTGTCTTCCTGTCATCCTGAAGAATGAAAATGTAATTTCCCAGAGGCTTTAAGAATTGGGGGAGTATTAAATGTAACTGAAATTAAGTGATTAATAATTTACTTTTGGGTCATGAATCAACTTCACGGGATGCTCAGGATCATTTGCAACCTTGGAAGCACTGGGAGTAACAATGCACTTTGTAAGACTCAAGAACTCTCAAAGGTTGGCTGCCCAACCTAATTAAACTTCAATCTTCTGATACCAAATTTATTTCTTCTTTGTACTGAATTTCCTCAGATCTTCTTGACAGGAAAATGTCACTTTGCCCGACAGCTGATAGACAGGTTATGTAGCACCATAATTGGAGAGAAAAGGATAGCTTAAAGCTACTCGACTTAATGGCTGTATGTATGGCTTTTTCTCTCTTTTCCTTTTTTTTTTCCCTAAGGTTTCTATGACAGACACAAAAGGCCTTAGCAAATAGGCCTAGTGCCATTTTTTTCCGTGCTTCCTCCAGGGGTAATTATCTTACTCTATCAATAGTGCTGTCAGAAATTGGGCACATAATTCAGCATTTAAATGAACAAGCAATGTAATATTTCCTGTCTCCCAGTGGAATGCTTTGCAGTTCACATTCTTCTCTGTCACTCGCTCACTCTTGATGTATGTCCCACAGCCAGTCCTTGAATGCCTTCTCTCCCTTGTGTTTCATTGCAGATGTTGGCTCCGACTTGACACCTACTTCATTTGGAGCTTTATAGGACCAGCGACCTTGATAATTATGGTAAGAACTCCTCATTAACTATGTGTTTCCCAGGTCAAAAACTAAAACTTCCGCGATCCTTGCACTGCCTACCTTTGATTCACATAGATTATTTGGGGCAAAGCATCTACTTATCTGACCCTATTATAACTCAAGCAATTAGACACTTATTCTAATCTACTTTTATATTGTGAAATACTTAATCAAAAATGTTGCCAAAGAAAACAGCCTGATCTCACAAAAGCCATTTGGTTCTGTAGGTTTTTAAACAGTGATGATCCCAAGTTTCACAACAGTATATTTCCTTTCTTTTTCATTTGGATAATTTGAATTATGAATGGAATCGGAAATTGGAAATGCGGCATTATACCTTACTATTCCTTCCAGTTTTGTTTTTTATAAACATCTCGAAAACTTTAAAATCCAAAAGCATTTCACTTGAGAATGGAACAAATTAGTTAAGCAAACATTCTGTACCCATACTTCCTTTTGTATTTTTAGATGCATAATGTCTTGATTATTTCACATATGAATTACTTATCCTAATTTTGGTATTATTATTTATGTAGTCATCGCTTTATAATACAAATTGTTCTCCATTTTTTGAAATAAAATGGCCTCTTGATTTTGAATAAGATATAGATCTACAATTCACTATCTGAAATCCCTTGAAGCAGGTATATTTTAGAATTCAGAAAGTTTTCAGACTTTAGAAAGATAATATGGTACATGTATTGCATATTATATAATATTCCTTGTTGAGAATAAGCAGTTGCCCAAAATCAAACACATCAACCAATACTCACAGTAGGGACTAGGCAGGACTGTGAATCCAAACACAGTAATAATTCAACAGAAAAAAAAATTGGAAAAGTAGGAGCAAGTGGAATAAAGACAGAAGACCTTATGTTGGTGCAAATCAGGTTTTCCCACCAAATGGGTTTAGTTAAGGTTAGGCTTTTTTGGCCACTCAATGAATTTTTTAAAACTTTCATTTTTCAAACTTTTTGGATTTGAGAAAGGATTATAGAACTGTATTATTGAGAGAACTTCAGTAGGACTTATAATTGGATTTTCCTAGTCCCTACCAATCCTAAATTTTGGAACATATAAACAAACCAGGTCACAAAGGGCAATTCAATATGTGGTTTTCTATACAGTTTACATATATGTGATATATAGAATTCATACTGGAACTTTTTGTTTTAAGTCCTGTTCTCTCTCTGCTTCCACTGACAAGACAGACACTGATACTGTCTTGGGTTTCCGGGACTTTAATCCTAGTTTGTTGCAGCATTAGAATTAACCACCATTTTATAATCCTTTTGATCTAGCTATTCAAAAATATATTGATTTTAGTATTTATGATTTTGTAACATAGCATTTCAAAATATATCCCTAAACAACAAATTCAGGGCTTTGTTCAGACGGTAGAAAGAGTAACACACCTGTATATATATTTTTTAAACATATACTTAGCTTTGAGTTGCTTTACAATTTCCACGGCATCATTCCAACTGCTGCTGATTTTGTATTTGTACGTATTTTGTCATAATAGTGCTTTGTAACTCGTTGGTATCCCAATTCCCTAAAGTAGCTTCTTGCCTTTACTAAAATACTAGGCAATCATCTGTGATCAAGTTCCTTTATAAGTATAGTGAGATCTAATTTCCCAGAACAACTCATCTGTTACAGAGAATACACTTCCTTTTTTTCTTATATTCCAGTTATGCTACATAACAGTACTTTTTACATTCCAGCTTAATGTAATCTTCCTTGGGATTGCTCTATATAAAATGTTTCATCATACTGCCATTCTGAAACCTGAATCGGGCTGCCTTGATAATATCAAGTAAGTGATTTTTCTTTTTTGTTCTCTTTAGCCATCCTAATTTTGGTACCCTAAATTATCCCGACTCTTAATTCTACTAAAATCTTGTGACAAAATGAAGAGGATCAATGTGTTGTCTTTGCTGAAAAGATCATCTATTGACTGTTGAGATGACTTGATCTTCATTCAGTAGAATGAAGCTGTCTTCAAAAAAAACTTTTCCCCCTACACTCTGATTTGCAACATGATAAGTTTTTAATATGTACATTTATGTATTTTGTCCTGAAAGCAAATACAAAGTATCTGTATCTGGGCAGACTGTTGTTTCTTGGAGCAATAACCATATCTGTTCCAACACTCCATCTCCCCCTCAGGAGCACTGTGAAGAGAGTCAGATGGTGCCACCTGCAAGTACTAAAAGGGAGATTTTCCACCACAGGAGAGAAACCCCCAAGATTATTGATCTGGGCATTTGTAGAGGAGCTCTTATACAGCTGCCCTCCTCTCCTTCTGAGAGAGGGAGAGAAAACACAACTCCCTGCTGTAAAATCCTATGGTGTATAAATACAGGGCTCCAGGCTTTAGCCCCCTTTGAAATGTTAACGTTTCCCTCCTGGGAGGGAAATCACTCCAAAAGTCTCTTGCTATCTACTCAGCCATCTTTCAAGTTCCAAAGTTTGTCCTTTAACCCAAATTCTGTTTTTTCTATGCTCAGAAAGCCCTTGCCATGCAGAGATACGAAAATATTCACATTTCCACACTAGTAGCACTTTTGTATATACACAGAAGCTAATTTACATTTTCTGAAAAGAAAAATAGTTCCTCAGTATAACCAAAAATGTTATCTTGTTCCTTCAGAGGCTGTGACAATTGGGAAAGATAGTAATGTGGAGATGTACATTAGTCATTAATATATTATATATTAAATTGCAATTTGTATATAATTTGCCTATGCTATGTATTAACTTGGCTAAATTTTTTATTTCAATGAATGTACTTTCAGAAGATTCATGAGGTCACCTGTGACTTTTGAACATTCTTCTTGAACTACCTCAGATAGCAGCTATGTCACTCATTTTCCATCTTTCTACATTTAGTTCCTGACATAGTTCCTTGCCCATAGTAGGCTGTTAATGAATGTTTATAGGATAAAGCAGTAAAATTAAAGACGTTAGTGACAAAAGTGTATTGACATGAAGCGGTTCATTTTGTTGAAGGAAACATCTGTCTAACTTAATTGAAAAAGGTAGCTAAGAAATTAGAAAAATATAATGTAATGTAGCAAACTAGGAATTATCTACTATGAGTAGTAGACTTTTGTAGTTCTTAATGTTATTTAGTTGAGGTAATAGTCATTATTTTGTTGAATTGTGTACAATTAGACTGCCCTTCTAAACTGTAGTAATTAGTTCCTTGTACTGTCTTTTCCTGATGAAATTGAATTTGGATAAATAAATAGGCATATAAAATACGTTTTCTCTGTCACATCATAGTTTTACTCCCCTTGGTGTAAATTACAACATCTTTGTATCTATTATTTTATAGTATAAAGCAAAATGCAAGTAATACTTTATTACCATTTATGTTAGGTTTTTAACATACTATCAGAAGTAAATACTTTGATATTTAATAACAGCTTTTATAATGTTAAGAATCAGGGGAAAAAGTTCTTGTACTTAGTACAGTCACATATTTTAAAAGATCAATTTGTTCTGTATTTATTCATGTATATTTCTTTAAGTGATATGGGTTGAATCTTTATGATGTTATTGTTTAAAAAAACAAACACGTAAAAGGCAATAATTCATGTAATGACATTGATGGGCATTAAGCTTTACATTACAAAGCAAAGAGAATATCTTGATTTAAATTCTGTCCAAACTGCTTTATAGTTTATATAGCCTTTGGGAAGTTTATTTAAACTTGCTGAGCCTTCCTGTCATCTTTAAAACGGGTATAATAATGGGGCACCTGGCTGGCTCAGTTAGTAGAACATGTGACTCTTGATCTTGGGGTTGTGAGTTGAAGCCCCACATTGGGCTCAGAACTTACTTAAAAATAAATGAAGGTATTAACTATTTTTTAAAAAAATAAAATTGAAATAAAATGTGTATAATAATGAAATACCCAACCATCAGATGAGCAGAGGAATATATACAGCTTTTGATGATTTTTTTTTTTTAAAGAGTCAATAAAGCAAGGAGAGACATTAAGTAGTTGTTAGAGAGGGTGGTTTCAAAATAGAAAAAAACGTGAATATGGACATGTTGATGAGGAAGAACCAATAATAGAGTGGTTAGAAGCATGGGAAAGGGAATGATTGTTATAGCTGTGACCTGAGGAATTGTAGGGTAGAGATTTTAGATGTCCAGAACAGTGGTCAAGCATTCCACTCTATTAGATTACACGAGGGACACTTTTCTACCAAGGTAAGAGAAGCTGGGAAGGAGGATTCTTTTCCACTGAGACTGGGTGAAATAAATAATAGGTGTGATGTAGATTATGTTGGAGGAACAAGGGCAGGGCAGTAAATGGAGGAATTTTTGCCTGCTCTCCTCTATGAAGTAGGAAAAGTGGCCATCTGCAAGATATAGGGGCATGTTGAAGAGAGAAAATAAAGAAATCTCAAGAAAATATTCCTTAAAACTTCCCTGACTCTGAAGGACATCTCATTTTATTGAAAACATATTAACTATTTAAGAAGTACATGTAAAGGAATCAGCAGAGCATAATTGATTAGGAAAGAAGAATTTAAGAAAGGTAAAAATAATTTTGAACATTAGGGAAAACACACAAAATCTGGCATCCGTTTTATTTAAAAAAATAAGGATCTTTGTAAAATGTATTTTTAAATGTTATGGGTGGTATGGGAGTATTTATTTTGGAGACATAAGCATCATTTATCTGGAAAGGACATAAAAGTTAATGTCTTCCTGTTTTTGTTTTTTGTATTTTTGTAAAATGCTGAATAAGATGGGCCACTGTGCTCAATTTATTGAGGAGAAAACCCACCATATAAGGATATTTGGAAGTCAGTGTCTTTCTAAAACCATTCATTCATTTATCAAATATTTACTGTCTTTATTATACATATTCTTTCACACATAGATCTGTCCTTTATCTAAAATGTGTTTCCTTCTCCCCATATTCACTGCTACCATTTTTTTAAGCCACCATCAACTTCTGCAGAAACACTGCAGTGGTCTTGTAACTTCTTTCCCCATATTGATTCTTGCCCCTACCTTTATCAGCCAGAGTGATCTCTTGAAAAGCGTAAATCCCATCATGCAATTGCCTTGGGTAAAACTCTTCATTGGCTTCCTGTTACTCTCACACAGTAGTCCAGACTCCCTACCCCGCCCCACTAAGCCTTCCTGTTCTAGTTGCTCCTTTCTTTCCTTAGCCTCTTTTAAGCCATTTGCCCCTTTGGCCATTCTAGATGGGCTCCCTTTTGCTTCAGGTTTTACCCTTCCTATTTCTCTACTGACTTTATTTTCCCTAACACTATGCCTGGCTGACTCCCAGTTTCCCCTAATTAATTTAATTATTATTTTAAAAAACAATTTAATTATGTTTTAATTCAAAATTTACTTCACGGTCATTAAAATAAACACGTGTGTGTGTGTGTGTGTGTGTGTGTGTGTGTGTGTGTGTGTGTGTTAGTTTAGAACTTAGAACTTTCATTTTGCTGGCTCATTACTATATTACTGATATACTCCAGAACAAATAATAATAGAGTGAATTAGTATAGGTAACATGATTACCAAGGAAATGGGGTTCCATTTCTCAGATTCCCAAAAACATAATCAAAATTTAAAAATACATTTCTGTTTGCTTTTCGCTTACTTGTCTTTGTCTCTTTTTCATCAAAATGAGTAATTGTATTTGGGGGAAGAAAAGTTATTCCACTCATTTGAATTTTCTGGTTGAGTTTCTGGCAAGTTGAAATTAGAGCTTACAGTAATCATAGCAAAAATTGAAACTAATTTTAAATATATACATACATGTGTAAATAGTAATAAAACAGTTATTGAATCAAATTATATTATTGCTGAAGTATTATGACATGTAAAACTTTAATTCTTGAGGGGCATTTAGAGCACTTTTAACTTTTACCTTCACAATAAAAATGTATTGCTTGCATAGTTATCAACTATTTCTTCTATTACTGGTTTAATAACATCACAGGTACTTTAAAGAGTGAAAAGTAATGGTAGAGGCTTTTAGGGCTAAGAAAGAAAATTGGTGCCTGTATGGAGTGACAGGGAGTCTACTTAGTCTTCCCTTCTCTGTGTCTGTCCCTTAGCTCCTTTCCCATGTACAGAATTCTGCATCTGGACTTCTCATTTTGGCTTAGACATGTTTTCTGATTTCTGGTCTCTCCTCTTCACCTAGGTTTGGCTTGAGTGATGGGATGGCAAACATATTGTCAGGTGGTTCAAAGAAATAGTTTCACTTTGCTTCCTTCTTCCCAGTTCTCTAATTGCTAAAGGAAGGCACAGTAGTACAGGGGAGTAATGATTCAGTGTCAGACACTTGGGTTTGAATTTCTGTTCCATCTAATCATTGTTATATTACCTTGAAAGTTTCATCATGGCTCTCAGTCTCAGTATCTCCTTGGAACTGGGGATAATTGTATCTACTTTGTAGAGTTTTGAGATAATTAAATATATGTGTAATGCATACATCACATAATTTGTGCCCATACAAGACGGTTTGATTATTTTGAAATACTATGTGAAAATATACTGCTGCCTTTAGTTCTTTGTGCTTTCCATGGTGAAATTTGCTCAATCTCATATCAAAATCCCATTAGAATTTGATTGGCTTTGTTTACCATGTGGTGTCATTAAGAATGTGTATAAATATATATATATAAATATGTAAATTATAAATATATATATATATAGTTTAAGCCAAACTTATTCTATTATGAAAGAATTGGCTCTAGGAGGGAAATGCTCATTTAATTAATAAGTAACAAATTCTGTAGTTAGTTCTGACAAAAAGAAAAAGAAGTA